TGGGGTAAAAACTCTTTAACGTTCTCAAGACTTTTGTCTAGAATATTTTTAAGGGACGGCACATTAGTTATGGTTTTTTCACAGTCGTAGCTTCCCTTTTCTTGTTTAACTATGGAGTTTGTATTTTCTATTAAATTATTGATTTTATTTTCACTTTCCATTAATCTATCTAAATCTATAGTAACAGGTCTACAACTAAAAAGTAATCGCCTATTCTGTTTATTTAAAAAGAAATTTATAGGTAAATTTTTTAATTGTGCATTAAAGTCAGGATTTTTTTGTAATTGTTTCAAACTATACGTTCGCTTTTTTAAATTTTGACGTATCTTTTTTGTGTAATTTATTTTTGGAATTTGACATTTTTTGTGATAGTCTGTGGTTATCGTTCCGTTTTTCATTTCTTTTTTTCCAGAATTCATTATCATGGGTTTACTTTCATCTTCTACACATTTAATAATGTGCTTTCCTTTAATTTTTAAATAATTAGTATTTTTAAACACACTCATATGGTCTAACTTTTTTGTATAAGATATGGGAATCATTAAAAGTTTAGAATCTATGGGTTGTGCGGAATAATTTTCTTCTACGCCGTTTACGCGTTCCATAATGATTTTATCATCTGAAAAAAAATCAAATAAACAATTTTAGAAAGCAAAGGATAAAAAAAAGAATTTCTAAATTAAAAAATGGAACAGTTTACTAAATATTATAAATGCAAATGTTTAGATGGATGGATGTTTTTTGAAAGTATCTCCGGAACAGCTGTATGGATCTCGATGAAATTTGGTATACATACAGAACTTAGTCTGGAAGAACACATAGGCTACGAATTAAGTTTTTTATAACTCGCTGACAGTCAGGGGTGATCGCTAGTAAGATATATAAGAAAAACTACGGCTTACCTTTCTCTGTTTCTACTTGGCCATTTTGACTAGTTTCTATATTTTTACACTGTAGCAATTTATCATCTGTGAATTTAACTTTTTCCAATATTTTTTCTTCTTCGATATTCTTTATGACATCATTTTGAGTTACATCAAGATACTGTTTAGTTACATCAACTAAAAACTTAGTTTTTTCAGTATTAAAGTTTCCCTCTACATTAATAATTTTAGGAAGAACCGCATTTGACTTATTATTATATTCCCCATAATTCAGATCATTGGTAAATATTTTTTCTGATAACTGGCTGATATCATTTATACAGTTTTTTTCTTTGATTATTTGTGAACTTTTATTTAATTCATCATTTTCAGAATCTGTATCCAGATCTATTGTTTCGATTGTTGGTTTTATTTCGATTACATCATCATCAACTGTAATATAAAATTAATACATGCTGAAAAGAAACATATAAGAAAGAAAAAAAAAGAAAAAAGTCAAACAAAATTATCTAATTTATTTACTTACTGGAAGTTACTGATTGTTCTAACTGGCTGCATTTCTCCTGTAAATATTACTAAACTTATATATTCATCCTTATTTAATCATTAAAAACAAGTATATCTTTATTCCAAAAACTTACAAGGTCACAGACTTGAACAGCCATCTTTTTCATTATTAAAACCTTCCAAGGTACAAATGGTTCGGTTAGAATGTTACCATATCTAAAACAAAACAGATCATTTAACACAAGAAGGGCAGTAAGAGGAGGAGTGGCAAAACTTTCCTAGACGATACAAAATTTACTCCGAATGAGACTGCTCCTTCTCAGCCTAGCCTAGATCATTGGCTAGCGACGGCCATCTTTTAAAATATGAATAAATTACACGATATCAGGCAATTTCAAACATTAGCATAAGCCATGGGCTAATCTGAACTGATCTCTATAAATCAATAGGCAATTGCTAGGAAATGAAAACTTTTGTTCCGATCTTTTAATGTTAAGTGACAATTAATTCTATCTATATTATCACTTCCACGTCACTGCTACAAACTGTTACTGCGCCAATGGCGCAAATCAAATAGGAACAAAATAATACATCTTATAGCCAATCCATTTATATAAGTCAGTGTCTATGGCTTGGATATGGCTCTTATAAGGATTATAAGCTATGAGTTCTTAATTCAAAAAATCACAATAATAGGTTTACTAACACCAGCCTAAGAGTACAGAAAAAGTATTATTGCATTGTGTTATATCCTTGAAATGTTTTCTGTAAACCAAAGGTAAAACGAGAGCTGGCAAGAGCTTTATGAGAGTAGCCGAAGATCGTGCTCAGTGGCGTGCCATGGGAGAGGCCTATATCCAGCAGTAGACTAGTATAGGCTGATGATGATGATGAAAGGTAAAAATTTCCTTACCTGCTAGCTATCAGTTTCTGTAATTTCGATGCTCTGGGTACTTGTTTCATATAATTACTATGACCTTGATATATTGACCAAAAACTGTGAAAGTTTGTTCTAACCAACACTTTTAATTGATACCAACGTAGCTGTAGCAACATGGCGGAACAATAGCGACCACTGAAATATGTTTATTAATTATCGAAGTTATTTAAACTACTTTGTAGTCAAATATATGAACGAGGCTTAATAAGGGGTTTAAATTGTGTAAAGGTTCTTTATACTGGCAAGATAAAGAAAAATATCGTAGTTTTCAGAATACCATAAATTAAAAAATTTACATTCGAAATTCAAATAGCAATGTAAATTAATTATAAGCACAATAATTTAATATCGTTATTTTCAAAATGTACGATACATAAAAATTAATTTGCAATAAATAATCAAAATCAACGATGTAAGCATCGATTTTTTTTTTGTTTCAATTTTTAAATGATATGCACTAACCTGGTGTTATAAATCTTCGTTAAATTATACCATCCTTTTGCGACGTCTTCAGGTGGCAGCGTTTCAATATGATAACTACTTACAAGGATAAATAATTCCCAAAGAACCTTAGATTCAGGCTGTCCACTTAGTATTAAATCCTGTAATAAAGGATATCATATAATTATTAAGCACTATGTTATGGCCGACATCTATTTGCCCCGTAAGCTTTATTATAGGATAGGATGAGTTGACTTTGTCATGAAAAAATAAATCAAACTAATATTATAAATGCGAATGTTTAAATGGATGGATCGATGTTTGTTTGAAGGTATCTCCAGAACTTCTGTATGGATGTCGCTCAAATTTGGCATACGTATAGAACATAGTGTGGAAAAACACGCAGGCTACTAATTATTTTTTTTTTAATTGCACGCGGACAGAGTCGAAGGCGACAGCAAGTATTTTCAATAATACCTCTCCGATAACGTCGATATTTTCATGAACGAGTATTTTGTCAAAAACAAGCCAATCGTTTGGCGTCATTTGAGCTATGCTCGGAATGGAATCTGTTCGATCCTCGGCGGCCAACATCTTCGATAGTTTCTTCGTAGTTAATGACCTGATGCGTTCCCTGAATAATTTAAAAGTACATTTTTATATCTAATAGAACAGCTCTAGAATACAAAATTGTTTGGAATGACTTGATGACACAGGCCATATATTTCAAAGATTTTTTCTCTAACCCCATCGTGCAGCAACTGTATACAAAAAGTAATTATACTAGACTTCCAATATTGATGCGAAAATGACGGTACATATAAAATATATGACGAATTAATCTTTTAACAATATAAATCTGTGTACAAACTCACCACATTAATTTGCAATCCCAGCCATACTGAATGTTTAATCGTTTCCACATCTGATCTCTCGGTTCATTTTCCTCAATCATGTGTTTAGCAAGGTCTTGTACCAAATGCATCTTAAATTCCTCTAGAACCGCCATATTTGATTTTTCCTATCCTGTAGATATAATATTAAGTCAATCAATATCACTCTACATTATATTTTTCTTGATCCATTTTTAGTATCTTGTAAAAGATGAAAAAATCAAATCAAATTAGAAAATAAAACTATATTATCTTAGAGTAGAAAATATCATTTTATTATTACAAATTACCAAGAATACATTTATACCTCCGAAATTTTTTTGATACTTGTAAAATCTTAAAACTTTCCTTAAAACACAAAATAATACTTAATTTTTATTGGTTTTTCAATAAAAAAATGGAAAAGATCTTTTGAACGCATCTTTATAATGTCATTGTCATTAAGGTTTGACAAATGACAAGCACGAGTGCGCGACAACTTCGTGTCGGGTGGTTATATTTCATATAAATATGATTGTTATTTACAACGATTTACCTTTCATAATCACTGAATAGCCATCTTTCTTGAACTGAAATCATAAAACTAACAAGTATTTAGCAGTGAAAAGTCCCAATCGATTATAAACGCGAAACAGCGTCCCACAATCAACACAACACAAACAAACACACAACACAAACAAACGACTAACACAAAATGATTTCTTCAAATTTGACGTTGTCAGCTGTAAAGGGAGGCATAAACGTGCGACGCCGACGGAGAGTCAGTATATAGACTATCTCCCTCATTTTCTATATCTATTTCATTCAGACGCATGGAGGTGGCGGTTAGCGGCTGTTATACTTTGTTTACGAACAGAACTGACCTCTGTTGAAAAAGCTAACCAGTACATAAATTATCCTTAAAGGTTTACTCATAAGATTCAATTTAACGATGCCGTACAATACAACATAGAGGCTACACATGTAGAAAGAAATATGATCATAGAATTTCTGTCCCTTCTTAACACTCGCCAGACGAGAAAAAGACATGTCAACACACACAACTCAAACGTATATTTTAATCTTTCTATGGAATACACTATTTTTACAATTGAAATTGTTCATTCATTTCATTTTCATACCTTACCTATTAAGGTACATATAAGTATTTCTAATAATTATCGTGATAAGTTTACCGACTTACCGTTTTATATGTACAAGATTGGAAAACGCTTTTTTAGATAAGTAAAATTTAACATCAACTTACATTATTAATGTAAAATAAAGCTGTCTATTTTGGTTCTCTGTGACTTATATTTTAGACCCTGTTTGACTCTTGACGCACAGAATCAATTATGAATATTTGCTACGACAATGGCCTAGGCGCCGATAAATATTAGCATTTTTTAAATCTCGTTATATGTAACAACTTAAATCGTTACTATGGTTACCCTTCACTTGTTTGTTAGTTAAGCAACTTGGTGATTTACAATTAAAATCTATTGCATACATCTTTTCTTTAATTTAAATCAACGTAAGAACAATAATTTAACTTAAAGGAAGCCTAAGAATTAAAAATGAGGAAGGTTTGACTTATATTTTTCTACCTGACGTCTATTAATAAGAACTTATCTATAAAAACTATTCAAATTGTGTCGTGATTTATTAAGAAACATATGGATTTTACATATAATCAAAATGGGTACCGCATTAATCAAGTTATTTTCACCGGGAGATGTCCAAGCAATGGGCTCAGTGCTCGACCGGGTTATATCTCAACCTAGCACAGAAGAACACACTGTTCTTTACAAACTGGCTGATTATAAAAAAGGTAAATGTTATTAAGATTATGATTTATATTCGACAGTTATATATTCCGGTCAATTAACCGTGGGTTTCTGAGACCAAAATCTGTGGATAAAACATATCGTCATCCCTATTATTATCTTTGACAAAACAGAGATATGAATATGTTTTAATAAAAGACTTTGGTATCAAAAACCAACGGTTAAATTCCAACTGTGCGTAATAATAAGAATGTTCGAAACATCTTTGTAAATCTGAAAACTTCTTATGTTTTCAGGTGGTCTGCTTCTAGAAACCTACACTAAAGGTGGCATGGTAGCTGCAGAGAGATTAATACGAGAAGAATTCTCAGCCTACATGTACGCTGGCGGTCGAGGCCGTGTGATAAATAGAGCTGAATATTTACGCTGGAAGTTCAGGGATCAGGAGCAGGTGAATTACTCAGAGTCACAGTTGTGTGAACGATTTTGTAAACGATTACTTAAATGGTCAATCAGAGAACTGCTTAGTGTAGTTTTATGTGGAGTTTCTGTTCTATGCAATGGCTGAATTATTTATATAACTACTAGCTGTCGTCTGCGACTCTGTAAGCGTAGTATTAAAAAAAAATAGTAGCCTATATTTTCTTCCATACTATGTTCTACATCTGTGCCAAATTTCAGCGAGATCCGTTGAACCGTTCCTGAGATACCTTCAAACAAATATCCATCCATCCAAACATTCGCATTTATAATATAAGTAATATTTATATTTTTTATAGGTTGTATTACCAATAGAAGCTTCGCTGTCTCCGTATGACCCGCTTGCCAAGTGGGAGGACCACGTGGCTTGCTGGCAGATGAGTTATCGCGGCGCCCTTGGTGAATCATTGCTGCATTTGTTAATTATCTGTGATACAAAAGTCAGTATCTTATAGTTGAACTTAAGACATAGCAATTCAGTTTATTTAATATAGATTTTTCTCAATCAACATTGTAAGGCTTCTTAACTAAGTGGGGCAGTAACCGTAGTGTTCTGAAAACTTGGTTATCACCGTTTCATCAAAAATAAAGACATGTTTTAATACAGAGATTTTGGTCTCAGAAATCCACGGTTAGTGGTGTAAGCAATAATGATTTCAGATCCACACGCGATTAGCAAGGACACTAGTGAAATGTTTTCCCAAACTGTCGCTAGATGTCGTAGAGGGCGAAGAGTATTTGGGTAAGTTTTACATAAAAATAAAGCTTAGTATTATGTTTACTCTATAAGTAATCTTACTAAGCTTACTTCTTACAATCTTACTCTTATAATACCAATATTACAAATGCGAATGTTTAGATGCATAGATGTTCGATTAAAGGTATCTCCAGAACGGCTGCATGTATCTCACTGAAATTTAGCCCGGAAGAAGACATAGGCTACTTAAGATTTCTTTTTAATTTCGCGCGGGCGATAGCTAGTACAATATAAAGGTTAATATGATGTTTACTTAATATATATCTAATCTATATAATTTATGTATTCTGCAGGAGCCAGCGCTTTGCATTTAGCTATAGCGTACAGCAACAACGAATTGGTACAAGACTTGGTGGAGGCAGGCGCTGATGTCAGCCAAAGAGCTATCGGTGAGTTTAGATCTTTGATACATGGAGATTTGTTTGTTTAACAATTGAAGGATCAAAAAAAGACGCGATGGAGGAAATGGAGAATATATGCCAGTGACTACTTTTAGACTTTATTAGAATCCTTTGGCGCGAATGATGTGCTTTCGTTACAAAGTCCAGTGTCAGAATGATTAGTGAGGGGACATAAATGTCGACATTTCAGTAGGGCTAGTGTTGCGCCAGTACACCGGCACATTGTCGGATTTTCTTCCTAACACTAATTATGAATACTTTTGCTTCATAGGTAGCTTCTTTTTACCACGTGACCAACAGTGCGTCCCTCCATCCCGCCATTCCAATTACGAAGGTCTAGCTTACCTAGGCGAGTACCCGCTAGCGTGGGCCGCTTGCTGCGCCAATGAGGCCGTGTACAATCTACTTCTCGACTCTGGTGCTGATCCCGACTCTCAGGACTCTTTTGGAAACATGATACTACATATGGTGGTCGTTTGTGATAAACTGGTACGTGGTGAGAGAAAGGCGTTAAGGTTTTATTGTAAATTAATACTACAGTCTGAAAATATGGTTAAGTATTTAAAAACTAAAATTAACTAACAAAAACATTTATTCAAATGTATCCATAATACTTTTTTCCGTATAACTGTCGGTTTCTGAGACCAGAATATGTATAAAAATCGACAGACTTTTAATTATTTTTGATGTTGTATGTTTTAAACGGGAATTTAGCTCTCAGAAACCCACGGTAAATGAAGTATCGGTGTATAAAAGATTTTCACTTACAGGACATGTTCGGGTACGCACTGCGACATCCAAAAGTCCCGGCTAGTAATGGTCGGGTCAACCACGCGGGCTTCACGCCCCTAACCCTGGCATGTCAACTGGGTCGTGCATCCGTCTTTCGTGAGATGTTGGAGCTATCAGCTAGAGAGTTCTGGAGATATTCCAACATTACGTGCTCTGCTTACCCTCTTAATGCATTAGACACTTTACTGCCTGATGGAAAGACAAGTATATAAAATTATGTGTTATTTTCTGCCTCAGATCTTTATATAGTTGAAGATTTAAATATATATAAATAAAAATTCAAATATTATTTCTAGATTGGAACTCAGCATTATTTATTATTTTAAACGGAACCAAACAAGAGCATTTGAATATGTTGGATGGTGGTATAATTCAGAGACTACTCGAAGAGAAATGGAAGACTTTTGCTAGAGTAAGTTAAATTAACCGTGGGTTTTAGAAACCAAAATCTCCGTTTAAAACATATCGTTATCAATGTTTTATCAAAGATGAAATGTTTTATTCAGAGATTTTGATATCAGAAATTCACGGTAGCAGTCGCAAAAACCAAAAATTATTCATTAAAAATTAGTAATAAATTATAAACATTTCAAGAAGCATAATAGTGAAAAATACTTTCAAATTTCCAGCAAAAGTTTCTAAAGCGTTTAATGATCTTCATGCTGCATCTTCTACTTCTTTCTGTATCTGTGTACTTGAGACACAGCAGTATTGAGGCTGATGCTAACCCCAATTGGGGGTTGGAGGTGACGGACGCTAGAGGCGGTATACGATTAGCCAGCGAACTGGGCACCATACTTAGTACATTATGCTATATTATACTGCAACAAGGAGATGAAATAAAGAACCAAGGTTTAGTTGCTTATTTCAAACAATTGGTAAGCCTATATTTTACATACAAGTAGAAAGAAATCCAATTCATACTAAAAGATTGCTTTTTATATACAACCACCAAATGTTGAATTTATCTTTCTGGACCTAAGTATTCTGTTTAAAATGTAATAAAATGATTTTTTTTCTACGCAGTTCAATGCGTCCACAGTAATCTTTATGTTTCTCTCACTTAATATTTTAAAGTTATACGTTATGACGCATATTAATATGTTTCTTTTTAATGTCAGATTCATGAACCTGCCAAGTTTATATTTCTGGCGTCTAACTTGCTGCTCTTAGCGTGCATACCAGCGCGTCTCTCTCGTCAGATGATGGTGGAAGAAGCTATACTGATTTTTGTCCTACCTGGCTCCTGGTTCTTACTTATGTTTTTTGCGGGGTAAGAAATTACATCTTGAAATACTTTTAACACTGGCTGGTTTCAAAACAATTTGAAACAAAAGAACACTGACCTGGCTATAAAGCGTGGTTTTTTGTGCCTAGTCGATTTTCGCCATTTTTGCGCTGATGTAATAGAATTAACTGTCACGTAACATCATCAGGCGCTGTCAAATCGGAACGAAACAAAAACATTCACTGTCAAGCAATTGTCTATCGATTTATAGAGATCAGTGCAAAACAATTAGTTTTATTTTTATAGCGAGCCAGTATTTTATAGCACACATATTTACTCTTTACCTTGTAATTAAGGAAGAAGTAATACGGCATCCGTTGGTCTTGTTCAGTGATTACCAAAGAGGTACATGTAGCCACCAAATCAACATTATTTTTTTCTTAATCTCATAGTGCGGTGAAGCTGACCGGTCCATTCGTGACAATGATCTACAGCATGATAACTGGAGACATGTTTACATTTGGCATTATCTACAGTATTGTGCTCTTCGGCTTCTCGCAATCCTTCTACTTTCTCTACAAAGGTAAATATTTTACTTATGGCCTTTTTGCCTAACTGTCTGGGTGGCTAATAACCGGTTGTAACCAATTTTAATTATCCAGGATTCCCAAATGTCCAATCAACTTTATTCTCCAGTTTTCCAAGCACATGGATGGCGTTATTCCAAATAACTCTTGGTGATTATAGTGTGAGTTAAAGTTTTGTGGTTAATTAACCATTCGATGTAGATATCCATACCAAAAGTTAAACTTATTACTTCCAGTACACAGATTTGGGTATGACGATATACCCGAATTTGGCAAAGGCGGTATTCGCGCTGTTCATGGTGTTCGTTCCCATCCTGTTGCTCAATATGCTTATCGCCATGATGGGTAACACATACGCGCACGTCATCGAACAATCTGAGAAGGAGTGGGTTAAGCAGGTGAACACAATTTTTAGATAACTAAAGATATGAAAGTATGAATTAAAAGAGAAAGAGATAAAACATATTTAGGAAAGTGAGTGGCAGATACAGGAATATAATCCAAACACTTAACAAGTTGCTACGAGAAAACTCTTGGTCTAGTATATAACGTGCAAAATTAAATGGATAGATCGATGGATATAAAAGGTGTATCATGATGACGCTAAATTAAGATCATATATACTTAACCTTTATCTCACAACACCCTTTTTTATAAACTCAAAAGTGATATTTCTTTAATAACAATTTATGTATTCCAAGTGGGCAAAGATAGTGGTGGCGTTAGAACAATCCGTGGCGCAAGAAGATGCTCATCGATATTTGCAAGAGTACTCTATAGGTCTGGGACCGTCAGACGACCCACGATACGAACAACGTGCAGTAATGGTAATCAAGAGTAAAGCCAAGACCCGCGCGAAGCAGAGAAAGGGAGCTCTTGCTAATTGGAAGGTGAGGTCCGTCTCTAAAATATAGTGTCATATCTTTTTGTCCAAGCCGTGGAAATTCGCAGTGCATGGAAACAGATGAAAAGTTCCCTCCAGTTTAGTAACTTTCTCTGAAATACAGAAAACATGTAGTTTTAATAAATGTAAGAATTTATTTTGTTTACAATGTACTTTTCTTCTTTAGCGCGTTGGTAAAGTTACGATCGCAGAGTTGAGGAAACGAGGCATCAGTGGCGAAGAGTTGAGAAGACTGATGTGGGGTCGCGCCTCTATCTCTACACCGACCAAAGCACCGCTAGCGTGAGCTATTTAATTTAAAAATTATAATTTTTTTAATAGTTCAGCCCTCTACAAAAATCCAAAAAAGATTACCTCGCCCCACCATCACCGATTCGGGCCTAATCGAAGAAAAGGCCGCGATCTGGCCAACATTAGGCTTCGTGTGCACCTTTCTTAACTCTATCCAAATTATTTCACCAGACGGAGACCAATAGATTAACGTAAGTTTTGGTAAATACCTCGTTTCTGTCAGTAAATCTTCGTATTTGTATATTTGGTAGAAGAGTACCACCGCCACCAGACTGCGTGACGGCAGCAGAAGAGGTGTTGAACGGCGAAGTTGGCAATGGAGTCGGATCAGCTCTGTCATCTGCTTTGAATGTTATGGCATTCACTCATGAACTTGATCTTAATGGTGAGTAACTGTCAGATTCAGAATCGTTGAGCGCTAAGAGAGTCTCTTAGTGAAGATTCATTAAATCTACACTAAGGATACAGTGTAGATTTAGTAAATGTATATACTGTATCCTTAATTATAATATACAGCAGTAATAAAGGGTGTTCTAAATATACATCCTTGGTATACTCTATGTAACTCTTTTCAGGTCAAGATCCAAATCAGAAGCAAGCAACACCAGATCTATTAGTAAATGGTCAAACATTGAAATCAAACGTGATTCCATCGCAAGTACAGTCAACGCCAAATCAACTAACGGTCCCGTCTAATATTGACCCAAATATCAGCTTGACATTACCCACTACTAAAAGTGACTTAGAAATAAAGACACAAGGCACTCCGGGATTTAATATACACGTACCATGTACTGTACCCAATGAAATGCTGCCTGGACTGTCTGTTCAAGGTCTTGGTCCTCAAATACAATCTACACCAGTATTACAACGCAAGTATCCTAAAAATAAATAACATTCTTCCGTTAAATATGAATAACAGTACGTAGTTTCTCTCGAAGACATTTGAGTATTGCTTTATCTATACTGCTGCTATATATTCTTCCTACAATAAGACTCATTTATCAAAGTTGACCAACGTTTTATCTTCATAATTTTATATCTACCATCGTTTTTGCATATTGACTAACAATAAAATGTTATTCTTTTATTCAAAAGCCGTCAAGGAGGAAGTGTTCAGAGATTATCTGTTAGAATTGATTTCGTTGGCGGAAAAAACTGATCCAAGCGATCGTCAATTGAAAAGTTTGGCAGAACAAGCTGCGAACTTGGAGCACATACCTGTCATAGACATCAATACCAGTGTAAGTAAAGAATACAAAATACGTCTTTATAAATCCTCCTTGCCATCTGTTGTTTTGTAATTTTATTTTCTTTTGATTAACCCATGTTATATCGCACCTTTCAAACTGTTATTAACTTCTAAAGGTTTTTGATCTTATAGACGGCAGCAAAATCAACGCGCAAGATGGTGGCGGGCGCTGTGTCAGGACTTTTCGGAGTGGCAGCAGACGCGCCTGCGCCCGACGCAGGTTGGCGAAGGGAACGACAGGAACAAAGCGATAGTGATCCCATATCAGGTAAACACTACGACCAGAGTTTTGACAGCTTATTACCGATGTGAAAGATGTAAAATCTTCTATATGCTATTATAATTAATCTTCGAATTTCTCCACAGGGTTCCGGTGAATATCCCGGAACCCTCGCAGTCCCATTTGATGGCTACTGATGGGGTTTTAGTGAGTAGAAATCTCACATAATCCTGTAGTCCCCAAAAATGTTTTCTCCAAATACAAAGAAGGGACATGAGATCCAGTATATTTCTTTGTTATTTTCGTAAATGTAGTGGGAAGATATGAAGACTGCGTTTACCAATTGTAGAGTCCGTTCTTTTGGGTCGTGCGTCCCGCGCGAGACGTGCTAGGTCGGCGTCGCGCCGCGCTGCTCCGCCCCCACCACACCTCTACGTACCGGCCAGGTAGTTATGCGTAGATATACAAGTATTTCATTGTAGCTAGATTAATTTTTCTACCTTTTCATACATATTTTGAACCAGATCTATGTATTTGGTGGCGTCTGAGAGCAGTGCTGTAGAAGACGAACCACCATGGGAAGATCAACTGAGTTCTGGAAATAATTCGTGAGTTTAATGAGTACTTGACCTCAAGAATTATTCTGTATATTGTTAATGTCAATTTATTAATAACAGGGCAATGGGTGCCAGTCGCGATGAATCTGCTCGTATGAGAGCCGCTCGTCCACTCTGCATACAGCATGCCACAGGTCAAGCTCAAGTCGAACATTCCTTATTTATTACAGGTAAAATCCAAATACTTTTAATTGCTTATCAAATAGTTGTCAACCGATTTATTTGATTGTAAATTCTAAATAGGTCCTGGTAGTGGTGCTGAGGTGGAAAGTGCTGCTCCACTGACCACAGTCCAAAAGAACGAGAAAAGGACGCGTCCGAAGACAGCTCGTCCACGTCGTAACAGGTATAGGTCGAACACATTGTGTTCAATAAACTTAAATGAGAGATAATTAGAACATCGTACTATTGTTTACTATTAGGAGCAAAGGTATTAGTCACGTAGTGGAATTGGTCTTTCCAAATATCTTGGCCCTCCCCGCTACACCGAAATTTGTGTTCTATGCATCGACTTGCGCCAAGACTTATAACAAGTCGTAAATTCGATACGGCCATATGTCATGTGCTTTTTATCAGACTTCGAAAAGGAGGTTCTCAATCCCTGATTTTTTTTGCATAGATCGTCGCTGCTTCTGGTAATTATTTACTTTTGTTACTTATATATTATTATGTTGTATACAGAGTATCGCCGGTGCCTGAAGCCAGCAGTCCACTGCAGCACTGGGCGACTGCGCCGCTCAACAAACTCTCTCGCTTTATTCATTCCGGCGGTTCCTCTACCTCTCTTACATCGCACACCTCCCAGGACAGTTCTACCAAATATTGACGTCATAATACGTCACAAGGTAACGTGAATGAACTATGGAATATGACTTAGGTAGATAATTTATAAAAATGTCGAATTTAGTACTGCCATTACTAAAATTACTTATTATGTTTTCTGCCGTCATTGAAAAAAAAACCTAATTAACCTATTACCATAAGATGCATTTGCACACGTAATATCAGGTTGGTCCTGTTCCTATACAGTGGGCTTCCATTGCCGAAGCACAGGAACAAAAATTACTTCCTACAGTACAGTGACTTTTGAGTTGGAAACACAACAAAAATATAATTACCCTATAAGCCTTAACTATAATAGCATGTAAAAGTTTATAAACGCATAATGAAATTATTAGATAAGTTAGTTATGGGATCAATATTTATATATAAAAGTTTTAATTACAAAGTGGTAGGACATTCATTCATGTACAAATAAAACAAAGAATTGATTCGTACGTTTTATTGTAAATGCCCACTTTCTATGGCCTCTGTGGAGTAAAGATATGAAAATCAACAAAGAATCCCGAAAAATTAAAAAAACCGAAGCACTTCTACTCAAAACGTATCGTCTCGCTCATTTTAATTGGAAAGAAGTGAGACAATTATATGTTTCAATACAACTGTTACGACAGTGGAATTTTACGGTTAATGTTATCATATATTGTTCATTGTTTAAATAAATCGTTTTCTATGTTATTTGTTTTTTTTTAATTTTTACATAGAATCTAACAATCCCTTCAAAATTAGGAGACCAACAATTGTTCAATTATATGTTACTATTTAATTTTTAGAAACATTAATTTCGTATATAAATAAGGAAAATATGAATGCTAATTAAACAAAAAATAAATATTTTCGGAATTATAGTAATTGTAAAATTTCATAAAAAATTTTAGCACGTAATAAAAAGAAAAAAATGTTATTCACTGTTTTAGCGTAGATTCAGTGAAAATTTTATGAACCTTTAAGTGCATTAATCGCGGGTTTCTATTGTAAAAAAATATTGTTCCTCAGTTTAAATCATGTAAAAATATATTGTTCCTCAGTTTTTCTATTAAGGACCAAAGGAAAAGCAAAATGTTTTTGTGTGAACTTTCTCTACTAGAAATCTATGGTAAAGATACAAAACAAACAAGCCAAAGAACATATTTTTTTAGATATTATAATGTTTTAATTTTATAAAAGTATAATGCTTCACTATAATAAAAAAGTAGAGTCTTGAAAGCCAAAATATTAATTCCTTCTATCACGTTATCACGTGATATAAATTAAAAAAAATATTTGAATATCGAACAAAAATTCCCGATTAACACGTATAATAATTTGTGTTAGTTTTATAAACATTTTTAAACTATGTTAAAAAAGCAATTAAAATATTGTAGAAATTATAAATTATCAATAAAATAGAATATTTTGTCGTTTAATTTACGCGATATATACTTAGAAACAGTTTTTTTTTTAAAATCATGTTTGAGAAACAGTTTAGAAAGACTTTTTCAGATGTCAATGCATTTCCGCTTCGGAGCTCTTTTTTAATTTGAACACAGTCAATAAGTACATTTTTAATTTTTATAAAAATCTGACGGATGACAGCGGACCCTTGGTTCTAGCGCCAGGTACTTAGAGTTTTCAGTTTTTCTCCTAATTTATCATCGTCCCTAATTCATAAACTAAGTAGTTTTGGAGACCAAATAATTCTTAGAGTTTGTACGTAATTTCATGTCATATTTCATAGACCATAGACTTACCGATTTCCGTTTATACAAACCAAGCCCGTGTATCGCCATCTCTTTCCCTCCGTCACCGCCATATTCCATAATCCATTGTATTTTTTACTTTTTACTACTTTTGTTTTGGTTAGGAGTACACACCTCGGCCTTTAACATAGATCGACAACAAAAAAAGGCGTTTATGTAAATGATAAATAAATAGGAAAATGCAATGCACACATGACATTATATCAATATGTAAAATGCGAAAAGATGTCACAGAGTAAAAAAAATCTAACCATAGATTAAGATTTCTAAATATGCACACATTAAGATTAATATGCACTTAAAATTATTGTTGCAAATTGATCTGAAACATTGCACATTTTAAAAATAATTTCATACAAGTTCATAAATACAGGATGTTAAAATTTGTACAAAAAAATGCACAATTTAAAAAAAAAACCACATTCAAAAAGACATAGGAAATAGAAATGATATACATAATACAATAAATGGATGAAATCATAATTATATGAAAAAATGTCAAATGTTCACACATGTGCCAAAAAAAAATCATAAATCGAAAAATGTAAGGCATCGTTGAAATACCAAAACAAAAAAAAAACATTTAAACCCTCAAGATTCCTAACATGTGTATGAAAAAGCACAAAAATATATTCAGAAATTAAATAATTTTTCGTATATCATCATAGGGTCCCACTTACCTCAATATTCTGTGAAGAGAAGTCATGATTATAAATAAAATGGACACAATTTCAATCAACATACACTTTATATCTTAAAATTAATACAATATGACTCGGGGATAACCCGTAACCTTACGCGTTTACCAAAAAAATTCTCACGACTTTGTTATAATTTCGAGAAGGAATGTATTTGGACTTACATTGCCTTCGTTATAACTAAATGATGTTATTTATCCAAAGCTAAATTGTATCAATTAAATACATATACTAAATTTATGTAAATCTAAATGTTGTGTTCGACTTTGTTAACCTAATGAGCTGGGAAGATAGTTCAAATATCGACATCAACTCTAAACCCTATACTTAAAACTAAACATTATTGAAATTAAGTCATTTTTATGCGGAGAATTCCGACTCTAGATTAGATACGTTCATTTAGGGTGCATTTCCACTAAACGGTAGCGAACCGAGATATAAAAAGTCAAATAGTTTATTCTTACTATTAAAAAGCAATTAAAAGTAACATGATTTTTTTTATTTTAAATATGTGACATAAATTACATTTTATTTTATTATTATTTTTTATTAGTAATAAAGTTAATATTTAAAATCTTATTACTAAATAGTTGACAATTAAGTATACCAAGTTCCAGTTCCGTTTTAGTGAAACACACCCTTTATAAAGAAAAATTCCGATCAAATCTAGAACCGTCGTCCTTCACAAATGCGAAGCAAAGTTTACATATGAAAATATCCGTGTAAATCCACAATATAATGTATGTGTGTATCTAATTCACTCAACAGTGCATTTACCTCGTTTCCTCAGCGGCGAAGTATCACTATCTCATTTTTTCCGTTTCCGTCTCTCTCTCTCACTTTATAGCTCCGTCGTTTTACATCTTTAAAGGCAGTGTGGCATTACTTTAAACCTGGACAGACTGGCATGACACACATCAGTATCCAAACAACATAGTACCAATCAGGTGATAGTAAATACATTACGTAATATAGATATACAAATAGACCACACAGCCGATGACAAATTCATAAAAACAAGTACGTTATTAGAAAAAAATATTAGTTATAATCTCAAAAATAACAGTACACAACTGTCTGCACCCACAAGAAATATGTCCAAAGGTTAATGTGTTAAAAAAAATATTTATTGCGGGTTGACGATCGACAGTGGAAACGGATTCGCTTATATTAATACCGGTTCACACAAACACGAAAGCGAAACGAAAGCGAAATTAAGCTTACACATGGATACACTAAAACGGAACGCGGGAACGACACAAATCTAGAAAAATTACATTAAATTTACGCTTCGCTTCTATTCCGCTTCGCTTTCGCGATATTATGCGAAACTAGTTATAATCTAGTACGGAGAGTTCTCTTCGGGCGCGCTTACGGGCTCGCTCCTTCTGCGCTCTGCAATCAAACAGAACAACATGGCAACACAAGTCTGTAATATTTATTACGGTAATAGCGTTTCTCGTTCAGGCAACCCCGGCACTGGCCTACATCTGCAACACTACACACTGACACAAAGTTCAACATTTACTACGCCAAATACTTTCTTAATACACGTTATAATTTAAACATGCAATACTGAAAAAAGATATTACAAGACATGCGCAACATGAAATAATCAAATATATTTTTTCAATGAAATGGCAACGTTTTTTTTTTTAAATTATAGAATTCAAATAATGAAAAATAAAAACACCAAAACACATCCATGCACTGACAAACATACACTATAAAACAATTCGTAACGCAACAATCTAAAACATAGATAATACTGGATGAAGGAAAATAAATTTCTTTTTTTTTTCAAATTGTTTAAGGACTGCATGAAATATGACGTCATTATATAATCCGTCTGGACTTAGATGAAAAAAATTACATCTCTTAATAGATCTAAAAAGAGATGTAATTCTATTCATCGGAAGAAACTTATCAATGACTATAAAACATAAGACAAATATAAACAGATCTAACATTGAATGGGACTATGATAGGTTCAGAGGCCATTTTATAATGGTTTTTACTAAACATAGGGTTGACAAAAGCCGACAACATTTAGTATGCATAACACAGTTCACCTGGTGATGACAAGTGATAACTGCCGTCCAAAGTTAGTTGCGAACAAATGAAATAAATCACATTTATACGTCATCATTTTATAAAAAAAAATATCAAATATTATAATATATAAATATAGAGTGTGGCAACATTAACATAAATAAAAATAAAATAGATTCGAATTATGAATTCATGATGCAATGTACATTCTAGGGTTGTCTCCGACTAAATCTATGTTTATCTTAATCTAATTAATTATTTTAGCATTTCTCTACTTAATAAAATTCATTTTTTTTAATTCAGTATTCTATATAATAAGGTTATGTATATTAATATATATAGTATAATTTGTTCATTAAACATGTTTTACATAACTCCATTCATTCATCATCTCACTTCTTTCTTCCAAACTAACCAATTAACAAAGTAGAAAACTATCTCTGCATTACTCTGATATGAAAATAATGTCGAAAAAAAATTTTATAAGCATAAAACCACACGTCACAAACACGATTGAATAAGTCACAATATAATTGACCTATTTTGCTCAGAAAAACAAAATATTAAACAAAAGTAACCATTTAACACCTACTTGCCCAAACAAAGAAAACATTGCGGCATGGAAAGTGTTAAAACCTCAGACAAGACAAATTGAATGTCAGAGTTTAATTTCAATTGATTCCTTATATACAGCAGCTTTATTAGTTTAGAAATAAAATTATTGGATTTGTCAAAAAAGGTCTATTATATTGGGATTTAAGAAACCCAGAGAAATATATCACAGTATTACCACTATATTCAGAGACATTTTAGTTTCTTAAAGAAACACTTAGTATAGATTTCTAATACCAAATCTACACTAAGTGACACCTACAATGATCACTTAACGACTCTAAATGTAGCAGTTTCATCCAACATCTCTAAGTAACAAAGTTACATCTTACATTATAAACCCATATAAGATGAAACTTTATACCAAAAGGGTTGATTTTTGGATAACATAAAACATATAAACTTTATTTGGGTTTTAACCACATCCTGTATCTTGTATGTTAGACGAAATGTAAATTAGTTCTAAATACCGTCACATTTATATTGACATAAATTATCTGTTTCTTTTTTCATAGAAAATGTAAGTATCGAAAATATGTATCAATAAAAGTATCACTGCAGTTGTAACCCAAAGTTACAGATACAGGGTGTATCATAATTCTTAGTGGATATTTATATGTATTTGTTACTCACTACTGCTGGTGTTCGGGCCCGCCGGGGTAGGGGTAGGGCGCGTAGCCGGGGTAGACGGGTGCGCCGGGCGGGTACATTGGGTAGTGCGCGTTATACTGCACGGAGGTCGCGGGGGCGGGCGAATGCGCCGCGGGGGAGGGTGTCGGCGCCGCCGTCGACGTAGGAGTCGGCTGCTGCTGATATTGTTCCTGGATAAGAATCGACATGTTATTTACAGATGAAAATGTTACTTAAATATAAATAAACGTCTCATGCTCCTTGTAGACAATTCACTATAGTAGTAGTAGTATAGTCATAATGCTGACCACCTGAATAAGGTATGATGTAATACCTTGAGTTTCATCTGCGCCTCGATAGCCTCAGCCTCCTTAAGCTTGCCGATGCCGCGGTAGTACTCCGCCCACTGCGCGCTGTAGTCCGCGCCCCCACCGCCCGCGCCGCCGGCACCGCCTGCGCTCCCTGGCGTGCCACCGCCGCCGCCGCTCGACCCGCCGCTAGGTGGGCTCGATGATGGCCCTGGTAACACTACATACAATCATTATCTTATATCAATAACTAACTGATATAACTAATGCCTTCAGAGTCCTAAAAAAAAATATGTAGCCGCAAACAATGGCATTTTTCTACTATTAATAAGAGGAACCATTACGATTCATTGAGTTAAATATAATAACTCTAGCCAAAGTCTATTTATAAATTGTGTAAATTATTAACAATATGCCGGTGACAGTTGTTACCTGGTTGCTGCGGCTGGTGCGGCTGGTGCTGCTGCTGCTGCTTGGCCTGCTGCTCGATGGCCTCTGCCTCGCGCATCAGCCCCAGTGACCGGTAGTAGTCGATCCATTGCTGCGAGTAGTCCGGCTGACCAGTCACCGGATTTATGTTCACTTGTTGCTGTGCACCAATGAATTAAGGTTTTGATACATAATTTTGTTAAAAAAGCATATAAGGTACTATGGCAAATTTAATTTTTAATCTTTTGTATGGGAGTGTACCTGATGTTGGTACTTACAGTACTGTCGCATAATAGTCACTTTATTTTACGTGAGGCAGTGTACATGCGAGTGCTACCATATTTTACATAATGTCGAGCACTAAAGTCAATTCGTAAATTAATATGCGATTGTATTCTGTACGCTAATATACCTTTCACTATAATATAATATTAATACGGTACAATCGCGTACTAAAGTGATCATTCATCAACGTGGTTTCAGTACTACTTTTGATATAAAAGGTACAGTCGCGCACTGAATTGATTTCATTAAAAATTTGACAGAGTTTTGTGTAGCAGTGTACCCATGGGTACTTCTGTTCATAAAGTACAATCGCGCACTGTGTGAGTGTACCTGCGGTTGCTGCTGCTGCGAAGGTTGGTGCCAGTGCGGGTTGTACCCCCAGGCGGGTGGGCCAGACGCTGGCCCACCGTACATATCACCGTTGCCGCCGGGCCCGCCACCACCAGACCCGCCGCCATTGCCTCCGTTCCCGTTACCCTCAGGGATGAATGTCACTGGCTGCAAACAATATAACATTACAAATACCGCACTAAAGTAGAATACTAAGCAATACTTATTTTAAAACATTATTATTATGTTATCCACCATTATTAAAGACGACTATACTTGACATATTCTGTTTAGATTTACAGTCCAAGCTAAAAGGGAGTCTTCTCGTGCTTATACAAGATGTCCATTGGGTCCGGACAATAACTTGTTTATAGAGGTTTTTTGCATACCTAGTTCTCAATTATCTTGTTGTGACTGTACCAACTTTGGCGATAAATGTCTCACCATGCCGACTTTCTCCATAATGATGCGCTTGCAGTGCTCGACCGCCTCGGGATGTCCACGGATGTAGAAGGTGCGGTTGTTACGGTCGCCGCCTTGTGCGCGTCGGTCCAGCTCGCAGTGCGCGCCTGACTGCGCGTTTATTTGCTTTATCACCTCACCACCTGATATTAATACATTTCATCATCATATTTTTCTCCAAACTACGTCACTGTCCATCTATTATGTCAACAGTAATAAACCTAATTTTAAAATATTTTTATAAAAATTTCACATTATGCCTAATCATTTTCACTGTTGACTGCAACTTTTAGTTTTGAAAAAATCAATATCTATAAACTGTCGTGATCAATTCGTTCTATGCCTAGTCAGAATTTTAAAACAACAATAAGTTGACTGACCTCTACCGATGATGAGTCCACACTTGACATTGGATATGGTGAATGTGACGCGCATCTCTGGCGTATCCTGCCATTGGTATTCACGGTCGCCGTTGCGCGCGGCCCGCCCCCCGCCGCCACCCGCACTGCTCCCGCCGCCGCCTCCGCTGCCACCGCCGCCGCCGCCGCCGCTCCGCATCGCACGCACATCCTGCTCGCGACGCTGTTTAGAAATCAACTTCCACTTGTGATGGTTATATATTTAAAAAAATCATGCCAGTAATCCAAAAAATTTGGTACATATTTGAATTTAACCCAATCCATTTATCTCTAGTGAAGTCCCTAAAATTAGTTGTAATGTAGACAATTAAATTGTACATTACACTAGCTGTCGTTCGCGACTTCGTTCATGCCGAATTTAAAAAAAAAACTTATTGAGTAGCTTATGTGTTCTTCCATACTATGCTGCTCTACATCTGAGCCAAATCAAATCAAATCAATATCCGTTGAGCCATTCCAGAGGTATTTTCAAACAAACATCCATCCATCCATCTACACATTTACAATATTAATAAGAACTAAGGTTTAGATTGTACCATATTAAGGGACCATGGGGTTTTCATGTATTTTTCATTTATATATTTAGGTTTTCATTTGTAGGCTATCAGATATGTACAAAATCAAATAATTTTGGGTACAAGTTAAGTATTTCAGAACGAAACAACATGAAATTATTTTAAGACATTTCCAATATAGGTAGACTCACATTGACGCTGGCAATGAGATCTTCTATCATTTGCCTAGCCTGGTCCACTTGGTGAGGTTTGCCTTGTAGGTAACATCTGAAAAATTTATAAAATATCAATAGAATGCAAATTATTTTCGGAAAGGAAAAGTTAACTTAATCAGTCTGTATGAACTGACCCTATGTGAGAAGCAAATTTAATCTTTTTGAATACACACCTTTTGTCCCCAGGTCCGTCATCCCTCTCCTGATGGAACTGCACCCTGCAGCCTGTTTCAGCTTGAATCTTCTTGATCATGTCACCACCGCGGCCTATCACCACACCCACTGCTATCTTTGGCACTAGCACCTAAAGGTAACATTATTTTATGCATTACATACCAAACAAGACAGGATAAATTATACAAACTATGTCTTACTAATATTATAATTATGAATTTTTGGATAGATGGATGGATGTTTGTTTGTAGGTATCTCCAGATCATTGGCATGGATCTCGCTTAAATTGAAAATAAATTAGTCAAAAAATTAAGTTTACTGACAAAAGACGATAATTTGTGATTTATTCTTATAAAATAATATAAAAATGATATACCTCAGTAGCATTACTGCCAAGTCCATTGCCCTGATCCTGTGAGTACCCGTCATCGTACGGCGGCCGCGGTCCTCCCTGCAGCATGTCCTTGTCCGCTAACAGTTCGTACACCAGTTGCTTCGCTATTTCCACTTTGGTTGGATCACCGGATATACGTAATGGTTTCTCCTATAACATTGATATTATTTTAAAAACCATTCTGGTTAAAAAATTCTGAAATGATCTTTTTTAACTAATAAAAACAAGAAAGCAGCAACTTTAATTCACCAAAGTAGCAAAGCGAACACTACCATAGACACAGACATTTGCCTGTTATCGTCAGTTGAGAAGATGCACAGAGAGTATTTTCCCGGCCTAGACTTCCCATCATTTCCTTATTACAAAAGGGTGTAAAGGGAATGAGGACTAGAATTAGGCCATCGGGTTCTTATATTAGTAATGCAGGCCATAAATTGTTATTTCTTTTGATATATACCTAGTATAATAAAGTTAAATTATGTTGCTAATTTCAAATTTGATATATTTTTCTTTTTTTTTAAATGAATAGTGTAATTCTTTATTAAAGGTGAAAACATAACAATGGTACTTACATATTCAGTATTAGGGCCATCCTGTATGACAACCATTTTAGCCCCGGACTGCTCTTGTAGTTGTTTTATGGTCTTGCCATTTTTGCCAATGATCAAACCCACTTTGGGCCCCGGAAGTGTTATTTCTTCCTAAATTAAAAAATAAGAAATTATAAGAAAACAATATACCATCAAAAATGTTTAAACATTTAACAAGTAAAATAATTTTATTTTAGGTTACTTCAAGTTAATTTTAACCTTTTACTTAATAACCTTACTAAATACCAATATCAATCCGAATGTTTAGATGGATGGATGGATGTTTGTTTAAAGGTATCTCCAGAACACTTAAATGGATCTTGTTGAAATTTGGTATACATATTGAACACAGTCTGGGTAAATACATAGGCTGCAATTATGTTTCTTTTTAATTCCACGTGGACGGAGTTGCGGGCGAAAGCTAGTTTTAAAATAAACAAAATGTATAAATGGCTGATGTACAGTTATAGCAAGTCCGCCTCCGCCGCCGCCGCCGCCGCCGCCGCCCCCAATGGAGCGCGGCATTGGCGGGCCTCCACCCTGGTTGTCTAGATGCTGCGGGGCATTCTCCCGCCCACGGTGATTCACTATTTGGTTAACGAGCTCCCTGTTTAAAAAGAAATAATAGTAGTTTAATAATTATTATTAATTAATAAGTTTGTGTAATGGATATAAGGGATCGTTAAATGTAATTAACTTAAAGGATTTTCTTCATGTACTTGAATAATTGTTGGTTTATGCAATTCCCTGTATAAAATATATTGTTATCTGTTTTGTCAAAGACAATGAAAGGGACAACAATATGCCTTATACAGGTATTTTGGTCTCAGAAACCAATGATAAGACACATACTTCATTTATAGAAGTTACAAGTTTAATAAATCAAATTGTCTATTTTGGTACTGTAAAATGTGTTTTTTTATTTTTTTCATTTATAATATTAAAACAATACTTACTTGGCCCTAGTTATAGCTTCCCTAGATCCAGTCAGGGTGCACAGACGATCAGGTTGTCCACCAGAGTCCGGTGCCATCTGTATCTTGCAGCCCGACTCGGCTTGAAGACGTGTGATCTGCTCCCCGCCACGACCTATGACTAATGTATTCAATGCATTTAGAATATATCTATGGCATATAAATTGTTTCGCAACAGCATTATTACGAAGCATTGGCAACCCTCAGTTATGTTAGAGCAAGAAATATATTTAAGTTGTTTTTATCCCCCACTAAAAATGACATCATTTCTTTGAGCTGTGCAAGTTTTGACGAACATTATTATGGGTTTCAATTATGTTCACATTCATAAAAACTAATTGTTATCTCAGTTTTTTTAGAGTGTTTGAAAGAGAAAACAATGTTTCCAGCAAAAGTAACCTATAGTATTTGTACTTTTAGACATTATTAATTAGAATCATTTAGCGCGAATGGCACGCTTTTGTTACCAAGTCAAGTGTCACATTGATTAGTGAGGGGACATAAACGTTGACATTTAATAAGGCTAGTGTTGCGCCGATACCCCGACTCAGTATTGTGTTTTCTTCCTAACAGTACTTATATATCTTGGGTCAAATCATCTAACAATGATCCCTCCTAAAGTTATGCAGTCTACTTGAATATATCATTTGAATTTCAATAAGCAGAATATTAAAACAGTTTTTATTAGTAACCATAGTCACAATGCAATAAATAATGTATGAGAAACATTGACTGTTTTACATTAATGTTAAGAAATCTTACCTATTTCAAAATGATCTTATATTTTATTTATAGTACCCATAGCCCTCTCACAAAATATGTCATGGAATATGACAATTTTTTTTTCTTTTAACATGTTAAACGCCACTCCAGTCACCGGTGACCGGATCCCTGCATTTAAGCGATGTAGACCTGTGACCTCGTGATGTTTTTTATAATATCGCGGAACACAGCTTCTGATTGAACCCTAAACTATACTATATATTTTGAAGATTCGACATTACGCATATATTTGTAGCAAAAAGTTTTTTAGTGATTTTTTTTTATATAGCGTTTAACATGTAATAATACCTAGGCCCATACAAGTATTATTAATAGTTTTAGTTAGTATTAATTCAATATTAATAGATGGAATGTTAAAGCAGGGTGGTTCCAAACTTATTCATAAGTAGGTAGATATAAAATTTGAGGCATGTATGAACAAGAGGGTGCTTGATGATGCCAATTGCAATCAGGTTAGTATATATGAAATAGGAGAAGAGCCAAAGCAAAAAACAAACAAACATCTTTCCAGCCAGGTAATAACCTTAACCTGTGTGCTATAAAACTTAACAGATTCTTACATTTATTCTCCAATGACATCAATAATTTTCTTCCTTTTTGGTATTAAATTAGTTAGAGAATAATAATGGCTTACTTAATCCAACCATCTTGTCCGGCACTCTAATGTACTCATTGATCTGCTGATCTGACATCATGTTGGGGGGTCCGGAGGGTGGTGCAGGGGGCGCGGGGTTGGCCGCCATACGCGCTGCAGCCACTGCCGCTACTGCTGCTGTTGTACTACTGTACAAACAAAATTGCATGACTCATGTCATTTGGTCATCCAAATCTTATACCAAGATGTGTTTTTTATAAGAGAAGGGGGAAATGAGCAGTGGTAACACCGAGATGTATAAACATTGACTAAAACTGACAATATTAGGGCTAAAAATAGTCAAATCTTATAGCTTCTTCTTTATAGTTCATTGTTATTAATTACGAAATTGTTTTCGACCATTTGCGTTTTCGTTAGAAGGTAATGATGTGTCACCTTTCCTTTAATTTAAAACTAGAGTTAAGAATTGTAGTTGTTTGTAAATAATACACTACTTCCAGTAAGTGTTTTCAAATGACTTGGCGGCTCTTAACTTCTCACTGTATGAATTTAGGTGTAGCCGGACGTAGCGACATGCGGGGGGTGGGAACTGTTCAGCGCGACGATGACCTAGGACTGCCAAGTTATTTATAAAAAAATACAATATTACAAACCTCATTGGTGGTGGTTGTGGTTGTTGGGGTGGTTGAGAAAATACTGTATCCACTGGCGCCAATTTCTTTGCAATCGGTTCTGGTCCGTCTTCAAGAGACCTTTTGCCTGTTCCTCCGCTAATTTTAGCCGCAATCTACGATAGTTGGTAAAGTAAATAATTTGTGACGCTCATAAAATTCTAACTCGTTCTAATGCATCATAATTGTTAACAATGGAATGCCAAATTAAAAAGTAGGTTATACAACGTATTACTTCAAGAAATGTCAGTAGATAATTATTTTAAATCAAAAAGAGGGTCGATTGTGATTGATTATTCAACATACTATGAACTTAAACCAATGAAACAAATTTTTATCTGTTGAACATACAAATGCGACGGTGTCAAAAATTATGCAGATGTCGGTCTACTCACCAAGCTAGCACGTTGTACAGCAGCCGCAAATCCCGCCGTTTGGCTATTATTCGGAAGCGTAGCCATAGAAGAATAATCACTCATGTTTGATTAAAGTGCACATTCAATAGCGGAATACGGCAGCCATTAATAAAGGATCGGTATCCAAAATTACTAGACACTTGCCTCGCAACTTGCGAGAACGACGCGAACCATAATCAGAAAGAAAGTTTGTGTAATGTTTTATTATTATAAAGGCAACAGTCAACGGTCATTCAGCCACGCAATGCCTTTTAACCATAGATAATATTTCAACGACTAAAGTTTGAATAAAAATAATAAACCAACCGATAACCGAACGGATAACGAAGAATAAGTAAAGATTCAGATTACAGAGTGGAATATGATGCGATTTGGGCAAAAGTCTCATTTAGAGGTATATGTAAATCAGTTGTGAACTGGTTGAAAAGTTCAGCACACATAGGTTTCTACCGTTATTGCCGGTTCAATGATCTGACTCTCAGATGTGTATCGTGAGTTGACCTGAAGGTTATTAATTATGGTTGAGTTACCCATCACTAGATGTACAAATGTATAGTAATTTATCTTTGCTTCTATCCTTACATATTTGTCGTTATGTAATTTTTACTATCAAATTAAAAACAATCCATGACCATGAAAGTAATTAATATAATAATAAATAGTAACTTTTTGTTGTATTGTCAGCCATTTTCAACTTTGTACATTTACGAGGAAATTTGTAGATGAATAAATAAGCAACCTATGAAAATAAGATCTCTTTATTATTTTCTTTGTATTATCCCATTACATATATAATACAGACGAAGTCGCCAGCATCAGTTAGTATTAGATGAAATAAGTTTTAATTTTTTAGTGACAAACTGCCTATCTAAATAAAAGATAATGATAAGAACAAATAAACTTAACGGCACGAAAATAAAAATTAAGGTATTCTTCACCTGATTATTGATAAAAATATTTTACTAAAAAAACTATTCGTTTCAAAGAAATGAAAATGGTGTAACGGAACGTAAACTTTTTTTTTTCTATGTTGTGGGTGCGTGCATTTGTGTTGTCCGGTGTTTGAAGACGCTTGGAATTCGCTTTCAATTTCTTCGTAGGAAAAATGTCGGGTGATACCGATAAAGCAAAAATCAGTGATAATCAGGTATAGTTGTGAAATATATATTTTAATTTCATTTCTTTGTATTGGTGCGCGTCTTTTAAGAACATTTCTAGTTGTGAAGTGATGTTATTTCCGTGTTATATCACAAATGTTTGCCTGCGTCTCAACATGGCTGACAGAACATTCGCTTCCCGCTAAACGCGGGAACTACGCCACGGAGGGTTGTGATATAAGTCAATAAAATGCATTAAAAACGGTGAATGCTGTTCTGATCAGTCAAAGAAACTGATTCTGATGGGATATTTTTCAAGAATTCGCATATTTTGGCCACCCCCGCCCCTTTGCATTTCGTTGCAGGGCCTTTGTTAATGTGCACGATATTATATGACATTGATAGGAAATCCGCATGACCTTGATATTTTGTTTCTTGCGAATTTTCTATTCGGAGGCCCGAGATATGTTGTTATTCCACTGAACGTCGACCTCGCGCCTTCTTATACACGCTCGAAACGCGGCAAGCGATGTAAATAAAACTCAAGACTCCGGTTTAGGGGCCTTTATTCATGACCTCTTTTGGTTTCTACTTGGATATTTTTTTGCGTATTAACGTGTTTGACTTACTTCAATTATCTACGCAATGTTTTTAACTATAAAGTTGCTGAAATGTAAAATTAGCATTTGAGAAAATCTCCATTTTCGATAATATTCTTACATAGATGTTAAGTATATACGTATGTATAAATACTGCACATAGACAATACGGTAGTGTATAGCGATAGAGGTTGAAACATTGAAATATATGTTTTATGCTGAAGGAATAAGATCTATTTTCGTTTAAAGTACGTAAAACTTCGACGCCAAAGGTATCAAGACGTAGAGTTTGATGTGATTTCTGTTACAAAACTATAATTTTTATAAGATATTTTTTTTAATCTTTATTTTGGATGTAAAAAGAAATTATTTTGTGAATTATGAAAAAAAAAATGTAAGATTGAATTGAAATTGTAAGCCAACTATCTATACTTATCACATATTTTATATCAGCCATTAACCTTATGGTGATGGAAATAGTTATTATTACAATAATTTTTTTAATTATATATGTATTATATGATTCCTTCAATCAAACTGAAATGATAATTTAATGTAATCTTCACTTATATCAGGATGACTTGACATAAGTAATATAAAAAGTGCTTGTAAAAATATGATTGTGTACACACCTAAATATAAATTTTATATAAATGCTATAGGTGTCATATTTGAAAAAATTAAAAAAAAGCTAGGAAAGTTTAACATAGAGGTAAAATTTTCAAGAAATATGATATGTTAATGCCTTCATAGTATGTAATGTTAAATCTATTTTTTAACCCACACTTTGGTATATTATAATGCCATAGTACATTTATTAAGAAAACTATTAAAATTGTGAAAATCAAAGTGTAATTATTATAAAAGCTAGTTATCAAAAGATTTTGGAAATGTCAGTTTTGACAACCCTAACGGCTCATGAAAACTAGAATTTTCAAGCCAGCAACCGACAATATTTTTCACCACAGTAAAAAATGTAATTAACACATTCAGTACCACTAATATTTTTTCATAGGAAAATGAATTCTGTAAGCATTTGGTGGCGTTGAATGTGTTAACAATGCATAAAGAAATATGACTGTCTAATATGATTAAATTTGTAACATCCTAAAATTAGGAATGAAATCTCATAAATATAATTTCCATACAGGATGAAGACAAGAAATCAGTTGCTGGTGACGGTCAAACAACAGAAGATGAATCCTCGCAGGACTCTAAGGGTGAGTCTGTGGCTCAAGGCGACGCACAAGGTAAAGCGGATGTAGAACAAAATCACACGGACGAGAAACAAACAGAAGAAGGTCAGGATTTTTTTTTATATAGTCTGCTGATTTGTGTTCATCTATATCACAACTAACCAAGGCTTGTTTTGTCTGTCCATTAAATTCATAATGGGGTGTGAAAATGAAAAAAAAGCAATGATAGACAAAAAAATATGCAAAAAAATCATGTCAGTCTAATAAATCCCGAGAGTCCCAGTCATAACTACGTCATTTTTACTATAGACTAAAAAATGAGATCATTTAAAAAAAATGGTCATGTTAAAAAAAAAACATAAAAAATTATACAAAAATCATGACTCAAAAAAGACAATGATTGTCAAATTCGTAACTAGGTTATTTCTTTACATCATCTGAGCTTATTATACGTATTTTAATTTCAAGGCCAAAAGCTCATTAATATTCAAATACATACAAATCTATTTTCTAACATAATGTTTGACTCATTATGTAATTTTTTTTTTTTTCAAGTGCTGTTTCCATGTCCAAGACCTTACAAATTAGGTACTTCTCTTTAAAAGAATTTATCTATTATGTTTCTGAAAAAAAAATACTGGAAAAGTCATAGGCTGCTTTAAAAAATATCTATTTTATTAATGTATTTAACATCTATTGGAGTTGTGTTGATGAATTTCTTGGTATAAAGTGAATAACAAATGTCTGTGTTTGCCTACACCGCTTTTCCCTGATGGTTTGAAAGTTTATCGCGCTTTACGTTACTAACTTTTTACGTGTGTCTGGCATATATCATATTACAAGGTAAGTTTTTTTTTCATAAATAAACATAAAAGTGAATGTCTTATACTAAAGTTTATTCAAAAGTAGCTGCCGCGCGCGACTTCGTCCGCGCTGAATTAAAAAAAACAATTAGTAGACTATGTGTTCTTCCAGACTATGTTCAATATGTATGCCAAATTTCATCGAGATCCGTTCAACCGTTCTGGCGATACCTACAAACACACATCCATCCATCGATCCAAACATTCGCATTTATAAGTAAGAAAAAAGATTATACTATAAGACTATAGTTTGTAAACTTATGTAAATATTTAAGTTCTATTTATAAAAATTGTGTCAGTGCCGATTATTAAGATTGTTAGCATAAGTAAACAGAAGGAAAAAATATATTTTGCAATAAAAGTTAAATGAAATTTAACTCTTTTTTTGAAGGCTAATAAAAGCTTCAATGTACGTAATATGTTTACATTTTGACTCCGTCCGGTATTTTAAAAAAACCTTAATAAGTAGCCTACGTGTTCTTCCAGAATATATCTGTGCCAAATTTTATTAAGATCCGTTGAGGCGTTGTGAAGATACCTTCTATCAAATATCCGTCCATCCATCTAAACTTTCGCATTTATAATACTAGCGGTCGTCCGCGACTCAGTCCGCGCGAATAAAAACCATAATATATGTGTTCTTCCAGACTGTTCTATATGTATACCAAATTTCATCGACATCTGACGAACATCCATCCATCCTATGCTTTCACATTTATAATATTAGTAAGAAGAATTAATAAGATTTCGTCAAAAGATATACAAATATATTTCAACAGAATTGTTTTACAAAAGTACATAATCATTTTGAAATACGTTTGTATACGGAAAAATACAGAGGAGAAAGTTTTTTACTCGATTGCACGTTGATGGACTACTTGTTATTGACATTAAAATGTAAACTTTTTTGTGATAAACACTGAGTTTACAATGTCGAAGTACATTTACAGGGCATATTGTTATCTCTTTCATTCTCTTTGCTAAAACAGAGATAGCGATATGTTTGTACAAATGTTTCGACAATTAATTCCCACGGTTGAAATTATAGAAGCGTTTTTGCGTTTCAATTTTTTAAACTCCTTTGTATATCTCATATATATACAATAAGGTTGTAGTGTCTGTCTGTCACAGTTAAAAAAATATTTTACAAACATTATGTTTTAGTTACTTATAATACAACGAAAAAACTTTTTTTAAGCTGTTTGGCTCTCCGCAAGCACCGACGTGTATGCTACTGTTTTTTTTTAAACCGTAAAGACGTAGTTGCAGGCGACCGCTAGCATTATAAATGCGAAAGTTTATATGGATGGATGTTTTATCAGGTAACTCTAAAATGGTTAAACTGATCCAGATGAAATTCGGCACATATATTGCTGTTCGGAAGAACGCATAGGCTACTAATTCAATTTTAATTTATTTCCCCGTGAATGGAATCACGAACTACAGTTTGTATACTGCTAAATATTTTAATCTAATTAAATAACAGCTAAATTCACGTATAATTCGTTCTAGTATCGACTAATTATGTTATAATAAATGGTCTACCTCGTTTAGGAGACGCAAAGTCGACGACAGCCAACGGGAAGGATGACGACGACGTAGGCGGTGAAGACTCCAAAGATGACAAGACGGATGCTAAAAGCGATGACTTAAAGGTAAGTGACTATTTAAAAAGTAATAATTTAAAAATTCTTAAAAAAATAACCTGGCTGCATATAAGTTAATTTTATCATTGTCGGAAAAATTATCTATGCTGTTTCATAACTGTAATAAAAATACGGTGGGTTCTCGTTGACGAAAAACAAAAAAATACTGTTATTATGAAGAAATTGAGAGAAAGGTATGTTTTAGGCAGCGGTAGGCCATGGTTAACTCTACGATTACGACCATTGACTTCATTGGACATAAGTTTTTAGATGTTTGCCGTCATTTCAATATTTTTCTTCGTTAATGCGGAAATTTGCACGACAATAGTAAAAAAAATCACAAAACAATCAGACCCAAGACTTGTGAAATAAAAACACAGAAGCGTCCTGGATATGTTTATGTAGGCGTTGCTATGGCGACGGGATTCCCCTCGTTTGACGAGTTAGTCTAATCTCTACGGGCATTTAATACTTAATAAATGCTATTAATTGCTAGATGAGGGGTTCATTCCTTTTAATAGGATATGTAAACGTTTGGATGTGATTTTAATTCTATATTCTATAACAATTCTGGAAGATTTTAAATTGTTGTATTTTAATTATGTGTAAACATTATTAACCGTGGGTTACCGAGACCAAAATCCCCGTTTAAAATATATTATTATCTCTGTTTTGTAAAATATATTTTTTATACAGAGATTTTAGTATCAGAAACCAACGCTTACATGTAGACATCTTAGGTGCGATTTTCTCATTCGTAAACAACTCATGTCAATGTAATTTTTTTTTCATTTTTCTAAAGATAATCCAAAAAATTTTGATATTTAGGAGGAGAACGGAGAAACCCATGACGAGAATGACAAAGAAGATGTTAAGGAAAATGATAAGGCGTCTAAGAAATTAGCACCCAAAAAGAAACCCAAGAAAGAGGTCAGTTTTTTTTAAGATTGTTAAAACAATGTAATAATAAATTCCAGCTTGACACCTTCACGCGTTTATGAAAAAATGGTTTGACAGACGGACGGACATCAAAGAGATCCTATAAGGGTTCCGTTTTACGTCTTAATAGACTTCGAAGTGTTTCGATTTTTATTTTTTGAACTATATGTTACAATAGGCTACATCTAGATTTATTAATGATTGCTTGTTTTCTGTTTATAAATTTATTTTTTCAATGAATAAGGATACTGAGGAAGAAGACGAAGAAGATGAGGAAGAGGAGGAGGAGGAGGAAGAAGAGGGCGATGAACAAGATGAAGTAGATGATGACAAGAAACAAGCTAAAGACAAGTAAGATGTTGTAATATTATGATTCATATGTAAGAAAGATCTAGACAAATTGCAATCCTAAAACTTGGATTCCGAGCATACATTCTTATTTTTTATATTTTCTAAAATATCTTGTTGGAAAAATACTAATGGTTCAGGCCTAATTTTAATTCCCTTTTTCTTCTCACAATAATTTTATAAGGGAAGGACGGGAAAATCTGTCTGAAATTGAGGATATATTTTTGCGAATTCAGGTGTTCACTGTGTACGTTTTCTACCTTATGATATTAAAGAAAAAAACTAGTTTCATTCTTTTTTTGTCATACACCATTTGTTTCAATAGAGTAAAGAAACCGGTTAAAAAAGCTAAAGACGCAGAAGACGATGGAGAGGAAGAGGAAGGTGACGAGGAAGAGGGTGAAGAAGAGGAGGAGGAGGAGGAAGAAGAGGAAGTAGAGGCGCCTAAACCTAAACCTAAAAAGGAGGTAAAATTTTACATATATTTTATATACATAATTAAGTACACCTTTATTAATAATTTCATAACAAATATATTCGAAATGTTTACTTAATATTTGTTTTTTTATGTACTAGCCGACGGAGCCGCCAGTACCGCTGCCGGCGGGTAAAGGCACTCCCCTGGGCCATATCAGTAACGTCGAGGTCTCCCTTTCCCGCTTCAAGACTCAGGATCAGAAGCTACTGCATCAATATCTATATGGAGTAAGTTTTATATGACAAATAGCCATCAAACAATAATTATATCTACTTGTATAGATATATTTTGTTGTCTTTGCACTAATAAAAAGTGTCATGGCGGTGGATGTATATGGTTAAATATACAATTTGTTTACAATATTTAGGTACTCGCAGTCGGTCGACTGCGACCGCGCGAAATTAAAAAACAAACCTATTTAGTAGCTTACGTGTTCTTTCAGGCTATGTTTTATAAGTATGACAAGTTTCATCAAGATCTGTTTAGTCTTTTTCGAGATACATTTAAACAAACATCCATCCATCCATCTAGACATTAGCATTTATAATATTAGTAAAATAAGTAAGACGTTAAGAAGTAAGATTGATGTAGATCAATACATAAACAAATTATTTACAGCAACTCTGCCTTGACCGTAACGTGAAGCGCAACATAAAGAAGTTCAAAGGTTATGAGTGGGCCATCGGCTCCGCTGACTACAAGGCAAAGCTGGAAGAGACCTCCAAGATGGAGCCCAAACAGTTGCGTACAATGTGCGAGATGCTAGACTTGGATAAAAAAGGTTTGTTACATATACAGCACCCATAAACCAAAGGGGTAGGCAGAGACCACGGACCTCTATTTGACTACACTTTTTCGGGTATTCAAATATAGTAAACAAATGTTTTAATCTTTATATTAGGTTCGTCATCGGAGTTAGCGGCGCGGTTGGTAGGTTTCCTGCAGCAGCCGGGTGCGAACAGCCCGCATGCACGTGGTGTTGCTCGCCCTGCCCCCACACAGACCGCGCCCGGGGGACGGCCCCGCCGCTCTGCAGCCGTTAAACTGCATAACAGAGGTATGTGGGACAACGAAACAGTGGGCCTTCATAGTCACATTTGTATATAAAGTAAAGAGCGGACGCCCTCGGCATTAAAAAAAATTAGCAGCCTATGTGTTCTTCCAGACTATGTTCTATATGTATGCCAAATTTCATCCATATCCGTTCAGGTTCTATCCACCCATCTAAACATTCGCATTTATAATATTAGTAAGATTGGCATCCCTTTTGTTACCTTTAACAAAAATAGAGACGACAATATGTGTCAGATGTAAGTATTATCATTCGCCTGATATTTGCGGATGTTTTAAAGAAATTTGTAACCTAATTTGCTTGTTTTAAAGATTTTTTGTGTTTGAAATCATGTAATTATGTAATTCAACAGGTTATTCAGATGAGGAATACGAGACTGATCCAGAGACGAAAATCAAAGGACCTAAACCTAAAACAGACGGTTCCGAAGATTCAGATGTAAGTTTTAATTATTTGATGACTATTGACTTCAAGGTTGATCTCTTAATACTAGATTATGGTTGTTAAAATATTCAAATATTAGCTGTAGCCCGCTGCTCCGTCCGCGCGGAATTAAGAAAAACATTAAAAATAGCCTATCTGTTTTTCCAGACTATGTTCTATATGCATGCCAATTTCATATTACCTTCAAACAAACATCCATCCATCCTTGTAAACATTCGCATTTATAATATTAGTAAGATTATTTAAAAAATAATAAATGTTTGTATCATAGGGTTCGTTTAATCCGAGTGGCTCAGAGGCGGATTCAGACTTCGATCCGGAGGTAGGCGAGGGAGGTGGCGGGGCGAGCCGCAAGCGCAAGTCGGGCGGCCGTCGCTCCTCAGCCGGCAGACCTGGAAAGCGCGGACGCAAGCCCAAGGCTAAGAGGGGACGGGTGAGTTATAAATAACTAACTGTAGTCCGTGACTTCGTCTAGGCAAAATTTAAAAATAACTTAATTAGTAGCCTCTGTGTTCTTTCAGGCTATGTTCTACATCTATTTCAAGTTTCAGCGATATGCATGCAGCAGTTCTGTAGATGCAAGTTAACAAATACCCTATCCACATGACGAAACAAACATTCGCATTTATAATATTAAATCCTATTACATATTAGTCAATATGTGCAACGAGTACTGCTAAATAATTTACGCATGACTTGTTGTTGCCTGCAACTTTGCGTGGTCGGTATACTGACATTGTCAGGGTTGCGGGTGAGCTGGCCTCTATTTTATAAAACAAAATGAGGCCCGAGTTATATAGATTAACACTAAATGTTAAGTGACTTATACTACGCTGCATACTTCGTTAAAACGTTCTGTGATAATTTTTACAGTTTTTGTATATAAATATTGTTTGTAGGGGGCAAACAAATCTGGTCGCGGCAGAAAAGCTAAGTCTGAGAGCGAGGACGAGAGCGACAAGTCGGAGAGCGAGAGCGAAGCCGAGTCTGGCAGCGAGGTCGACGAGTCCGACGTGAGTTACAACATTTTATACCTTGTTGAGGTAAAAATAAGGGTCATTTCTGAATGTTTCAATGAGCAAAAACGTGTAATATAGTTGAATTATCAAACTTGAAAAACGTTGCTATCTCTTTCTTTCTCTTTAAACAATAACGATAAAAATACATATTTGAATATTGTGGGTTTGGTTTCGTTGTTTTTATTCGAGGTTTTTCTTTTTTATTTTGCACATTAGCAAGAGCCTAAGGGCAAGCGAGGTCGGCCGGCTGTGGCAAAGGGCCGCAAGGGACCTGCCGCTAAGGTCAGCAACCCCAAATCAACACCTGCCAAGAGAAAAGCGCCCACGCCGCCAGGTAAATACAACCCACCTTTCGCTTTAATATATTTGATTAAGAACTGATTATATTCAGAAAGTCGGCTGAAATTGTTAAAATTTGTTTATTTATGTAGCTAAAAAGAAGGGAGCCGGCAAACCTGTAGGTCGACCGGCTAAGAAGGGCAAGAAGGCATCCTCAGAGGAGGAGTCGGGCGAAGGAAGTGAGGAGGAGGAGGAGGCGGGCAGCGAGGTGGAAGAGGAGGAGGAAGAGAGCGGAGAGGAGTCAGACACGCCCGCTGACAAGAAGGCCAAGCGGCCGCCCACGGTAAGCACACGACACAAATACTTTAAAATGTAGACGTAATTATGGTCCTTAAAGGGGTTTTAATAAGTTTTTATGAAAGCTATATTCTGTTTGTTTGGTACATGCTAAAGATTTTTCTAGGTGACGCTGTGGAAAAATATTTCAGTCTGAACCTGAACCTAACGGTCCTTCATTGATGCATTTTTTAACAATGATAGTATACTTGGTACTAAATTTTTTAGGTTCTCCAGACCTATGAGTAGTTTAGCTCTATAAGGCCTGAAAGGCTCAGTTTACTGACCATTATGTTATATTAAGATGTTTATTGTGCGTTGTGTTAGGACGAGGAGATAAAGAAGTACGTGAAGCAGATCCTGGACGGCGCGAACCTGGAGCAGATCACGATGAAGACGGTGTGCAAGCAGGTGTACAGCCACTACCCGGACTTTGACCTCGCACACAAGAAGGACTTCATCAAGGCTACAGTCAAGTCGGTATGTACACACACGCATAGACAAACATTTATGACTCACCAGCTTTTGCACGCTAATTTTTCCGCGCCATATTAGAAAAAAAAACAGTAAGTAGCCTATGCGTTCTCCCAGACTATTCTAAATCTTAGCAAAATTTTACTGGAGTCCGTTATAGTTATATTCGAGATATGTAATAACATCCATCCATCATTGCATCAATCCATCTAAACATTCGCATTTATAATATTAGTAGGAAAGTTAGATTTAAAAAATTATTTTAGATATTAATGTTAATCAAAGTTTGAAAGTAGACATTTAAAATAATTTTATTTCTTTTTTGGCATGCGTCCAATGTTCTTTTCTTTTTTTAATATGTTGTTTATGGTTAGGCTGCATTAATTTTTAGCCGAATTCAAAAAGAAGGAGGTTATATTCGAATGTTTATTTTTCGTTGTTATTACGTTGTTTTGTTTGTTTGTTGCAGTGTATTTAAGATGTTAGGAGTTAAGGGGCGGAGTGTAGATGTCTACATAGAATACCTATAGTTTATAAAAGGACATAGTTATATATTATTATAATAATAATATATTATGAAAGAATAAAATATCTAAAATGAAGTGGAATGGATGATCACCCGCTTTTCCTTACAAGGTAGACATTTTTTTTTGTTTTTATCACTTTCGATAATTTTATCACTATTATTTCCATTTTTGTTTCATCTTAACACAAAATCAACATTTATTTTGCAATTTTTTGCTTTTAAATCGCCATAGATCTAAGATATTTGTTGTTTTTTGGTATATTTAAAACATAGGATGTTCCCCTTATTGACTAATCTGTTTTTTATGTCTGTTTTCTCAAAAATAATAATGAGGCGTGATTATATGTTTTATTCAGGAATTTTGGTCTTAGAAATCAACGATAATTAATTTGTTATGTACCAAGTAAATTTCTTGATAATATGGAAAAAATTGAATAACATAAGTTTTTATTTTATCCAATTAAATAAAAATATTTTGTAATATGTAAAATTAATTGTTTTCTACTTGCAGCTCATATCCTCGTGAGCTGCGACCAGTTCGGCCGCAAATATAGTGAAGTAAGCCACACTTTAATATTAAAACTTTCGCCCGTCGCGCCGCAACATCGACTTATTTTAATCATTATTTTGTTTACTTTCATTCTCTAAAGATACACAGAAGTGACTCACAAGATATGACAATGCCGCTGTAAAATTGTAAAAAATTTTTTTTATTTGTCCAGGTTTATCCAGGTTTAAAAACATTTTTTTGTTAAATAAGAAAAACAAATTCTTCTTGAGAGAGTCTTTGATTTTTTCTACATATTTTACTGACTTATGCAATCATTAGATAGCTGAAAAAATAGATTTTTTTATTTTGATATTTAATGCTTGCATTATCATAACTTTGGTGTTCAATCCATTAACAATTGGCTCAAAAGCCATTGCCCATGGACATTAAAAAAAAACAAGTGTCATAAACGTCAAAGTGTCAGATGTCAGTTGTCGTTCCTGTTTATTTTTGTAGAATAAAGAAGAGATATTTTATTGTGTTTAGAGGCGGGACGTGGCGCACGCCTGTGTAATTCTATTTTATAGGTATAATTCCCACTAGTTTAAGTATAAAGAGTAATCGCTTTAGAATTACTGAGTTTTTCTTTTTAACGCGCCTGTAAGGAGATTTTAATTGCGGCCTCCTTGGTGGTAGTGTGTGAGCCATGCGGTTAAGTGCAGATTAAAAAAAATGTCCATAGTCTGTATTACTTTTATTCAATTTATATACAACACCAAATATGGTTACAGTTTTATTATGACGCACTTCTATCACATTATAAAATAATTATTACAATTTTGTATAATTTTGACTAAAATAAAAGCTATATTTTTATAGTTTTAAAATATTGAATTTTTAAATACATATAGATATATATCTATGGTTGTATATAAAAGTTTGAAATTGAATCGTATCGGCCATTTTGACATCCCTATATATTGACCACGTGGCTCACAAACTTTGCTTAGGATTGTGAAGTACATAGTTTTTTAAATGTCTCGTATCGAAAATGTATTTGTACAAAGTTCAGTAATTTGTATTATGCAGGCGTACGACTGAACGACACGACGTCGTGACAACATTTTTGTTTTATTCTATCTCTGATATATTTTTTTAAATTGCATTTTATATCGCGTCGTTTCGTCAACGCCTGTTTTTATTGTTTGTTGTTTTTAAACAGTTTGGAATAAAAAAAAAAGTGTTAAGATTATATTTTTTAAAGTAAATAGGTTGTATCTCGCAGGTGTGGTTCTATCGCAAAACTTATCAGCTAAGATTTTTATTATAAGTAATTATAAGATGTGTAAATACACTGGATTGTCGGCTCTGTTATACATTGTTGTATGAATTTTATTTGAAAATTTTTATATTATTAATCGTGGGTTTCCGAGAAATCTACGTATAAAACATATTGTCTCTGTTTTCTTTTTGAAAGACAGGGATACCAATATGTTTTATGTATTTTTGATTTCAGAAACCTACGGTAAATGTATGTAATTTTCAAATGAAATTCATATTTTCATAATGTCACATAGTAATGTTGTAGATTCACAATTGATGTAATCCATTTTTAAGTTTTTTTTTCTAATATAATATTGATTTTAAAGTTTACTAAGATTTTCAATTAGCATAATACAATGTAGCCTAAACCCTTGTTGTTAGTTCACTTTACATGAAATAGCTTGTTTTGTGGGATATTTACGTTTGTATACACTTGCAATATATTTTCTTTTGTTGTTTAGTCGCTTTATTTGTAATGTTAGGTGCTTGTGATGTGGACGCGGTAAAGACGATTTGAATTAAATAATAATTTTGAATTTTATCGCGTCTGAAATTGCATTATTCCGTTTAACAGTCGATGTAAACTTGTGGCCGAAACCGTCGCTAGGTCCGTGGTTGAGCTGATAATTTAGTTTTAAGTGAGGTCAACGCGCACTGACACCTTCGATGCGTCCCGGAGCGGAGATGTTCTGTTATTTTGTCTATATTTATCTCCTATCTTGGACGCATCTTTGACTTGCATTCGCATTGACCATGTCCGAGTTGTTAGTGTGCGCCGACCTTAAGTATAAGTTAGATTTTAATTCAACATAAAATGTGTATTTGTGAATTGTAACCTTATTTTTTGGTTGATGTTTCTTTACATTGGTGTAAATGGCCGAGATCAGTAGAGGCGTAGTGCACGGAGTGATAGAGTGACCGGTTCCCCCTTTTACAATTGGACTATAGATAATAAAATAAATAAAAGTTTGAAAAAAAGTTCATTTTATTTCTACCCTCATTTTTTTTCTATACAATATGTATAAATATACAATGTACAATACAAAATTACTTTACAATTAAGTACAATATGTTATTGAATACATTTCATTAGATTAATTACAAAAATATTTTAAAAGGTACAAGTTTTGGACATACAAAGATTCTTAGAACTAAATTAGTAATAATTGAGCCGTTAATGTTTAAAAGTATAGATATTTTCATTCACATATAACAGTACTACATATCTACATAATTTAAATTGTGAAATTCGTTTTTTGTTATATAATTGCTTTAACAAAACCAAGTAAAAAAAAGGATCTTAGACGGACGGACAATAAAGTGATCTTATAAGGGTCCGTACAGAACCCTAAAAATATACCTTTATATCTAATTTTTTTGTAAAACAGTCAATAATATGAAACCTAAGGACATATTCTTGTATGGACGGAAAAACGGTCAGTGCAGGTTTAATTTTTTTAAAGATAATTTGATCAGAAAAAACGACAATCTTTTTCCGAGAGTTATGTTTATCATAGTTCTGTTTCTGGCTTGTGTCGTGCGTGTGGACGTCTCCTGCGCTCGGGTGCGCGCTCTGCTCGCACGCCCGACGCCGGCTGCGACCCGCCCGAGCACTCGGACTGCCGCGAGCTGTCGTTGTCTCCACTGTCCACGTCGCCTGTAATCATAACGTTGAGTTTACACTAACGAAACATTCCTATAAAACATGTTTAATTCTGTTTGAAAACTGACCGTCACTGCTGTTGTTGCTGGGTAGATGTGCGTCACGAAGACGCGGCCGTCTTCGCCAGTATCGGAATTCGCGCGGCAGAGTGTACGACCGTGGTAATGAAATCTAGATAAATAAGCAATTTAGTATAAAACATAGCTAAGTATACTGCTTAAAAATTTGATATATTAGTGAAAAACATTTTGGTATTTGGATGAAAACTTTTTGATTACCTGGCTGTCAATATCACTAGGGGGCCGTGGCGTGTCTCGTGCACCATCTGCGCCCGACTCCTCTCCGCTGCTGCCCAGCCCCGTCACCGCACCTACCACCTCCTCCTTCTTTCTGTTGCTAACCAATATTATTTTATCAAACACTAATTAAAAATTATAACATCCCTCGCCATTATCTTGCCATTTATGACCATTCAAAATGTCCACTTATTCAGGTAAGAACAAACAATTTTTACTCACGTGTATGGCGCGCTCCAGTGGCAGCAGACAGGTTTCGTGCATGTCTCGAGGTAGTGCGGCGCGAGCAGTATCTCTGGCGTGCGGCAGCGCAGCATCTTGCGCTGCTCCGCCTTCTTGGCTGCGGCCACGCCCCCAGCCCCTCCCCCCGCCCCGCCCCCCGCGTACGGGAACATCCTATCGCAGTTCTGTCCATACTGTCCGCACCCCACCTCGTTGTATATACTCCTTATATTGTCTATGCTTTGAACGTTCGCCAGAGCGTTGTGGAGTGCAGATATATATTCCTCTTTGGTCTCGCCATATTTACTGTATATATTTTGTACTCCATTCTCGCAGTAGCCGGAGAACTCGCCCAGACTCTGTCTATGGTCTTCAGAATAAATGCTACTGGGATTGGGATTCTGTAACCTAGTCTTGTCCAGTGCACTCGTATCGTAGTTGGAGTTGTTCACGTCTGATATGTAGGCAGTTCTCGGGCTGCTATTCATGACATTCCTCGGACTTCTGCAGACGTTTGAATCGTAGTTCCTAGTTTCGAGCGCGAGGTAGTTGGGTGATCGTCCGGGGACACGTTCCCTCATATTCGCTGGATTTTCGTAGAATCCTCTGGCTTCTTGATTGTAAATGTTCGGCATTCGCATCTTGATATCGTTTTGTACTGCGGTGTCGTTGTTCTGGAAGTTTGAGCCGGAGTACTCTGGCTTTATCTCTGTGTAGGTGGGGTAGAGGTTGCAGGTGTGGGGGAGGACGGGGTAGTTTTGGTAGGAGTGTGTCATTTCAATACTGGGCCAGGCGGGGGGCTCGGCGTGGGTCTTGGCTCGCGGTATGGGTTGTCGCTGCAGACTGCTGTATATCTCCTCTGCGGCGACAGGCGTGGTCTTGGCCAACTTGCCCTGCTTTATCTCCTCCTC